GGTTTGTTCTACGACGCTTTCAAGTTCGTGTTTTTTTTTTCTATTATCTTATTCTCGATGTACGCCTGTATAATATCGTTCCTGACGGGTTCGTACATTTTTCTCAACGTCTTTCTCCGGGCAAGTGCGGTGCGCAATTTATACAAAACATTTTTTCGACGAGTTTTCGGTTAAAATAATTTCTTACTGCCGTTTGTACGCATTTTTTTGTTTTTTTTTTTTTTTTTTTTTTTTTTGCATACCCGGTCCGGGTACGCCGTTCATACCGTCCCACGCGATACTACCGGCAAACAGTGAATTTCGACTGTTGAAATATACCCGCGCGTTTGATGTTCCACATTGTATTTTCGTTGAAAATTCATAGTATTTCATTTTGTAACTATTGTTACGCTATATACACGGGGCGTTTGAGTTTAGCCGACGTACTCGTCAGGAATTCCGCTTGTGTTTTCGATCTCTTACACGCGATTAAACGCGCGGTAAAAGTCGCCACGTACCTTGCGAAGTTCGCAACACGAACGCGGTTCGCTTGAAAACAGTACTCGTGACAGAACCACAACGTGTAAAAAAAAAAAAAAAACCAATTCAAGTGCGATATTAATTTAACGGCATTTCATTACTATCGATTACACGTCGGTTAAACGGTGCCGCACCGTGATTCATACGGGTAACCTGTACTATGTCGCGGCGTTGCAGTCATTACATCGAAATCGGAAATACCGCAGTGAAGGTTTTTTACACGATTATTTACAGAAATACGCCGTAACCATACCTGCGAACGGTTAAAACGCTATTGTTTGTTGTTACGGAATCGGCCGCTCGTGATTTGTATCCTATATTTTGTCCCGCGTAATATTCGATTAACACAAAATTTTGTTATGCGTTTTTGGTAAAGCTGCTTCCTTAGAAAAAAAAAACAAAACAAAGCAAAAGCGTTATGAAAATTGAAAAATCGCAAGTGATGCGTTTTTTAACGTACAGAAAAAAATAGATTTTTTTTTTAAAACCTTTCAATTATCTTCGCGTGTCGAGTACAACGGCAGTAGAAGTGTACACGGAAATGGTTTTTTTTTTTAATTATTTGATTCGTTTTCAGCATCACGATAAAAAAAAAAAAAAATGCTCGAATTTCTAATAGTGTTATATATTCGTGACAGCTAACAAGACGATTCAATTATTATAAGAGATGCGCACCTAGATATTTACCCATGTTGTGAATGGAGGTCGGGTAGTAATTATTGTTCGGATTCACGACGATGTTGGCAATTATTCAAAGAATAGCTAAAGTTAACTGAAGGCCCTTCAATTTATAATCCTATACGGATTCGTCATTATTTAAGTATACTTAATTTCTATTTTTTTTTCTTTTTTTTTTTTGCTTTTCTTATATAAATGAATCTCTCATCGGACAATTTCTGAAATTATATTTTTTCTGACCGTTCGTTCCAATGATTCCTACGATGATCTATAATATCCTACTACCGTTTTCGACCAAAAACAATTTTCATAATCGACAACCGAGATTTCCTTCAAGATCCCCAAAATAGTCCTTGGAAATTATAACAAATCTATTCTTTTTTGTCTTTCGCCGCGATCCCCTAACTATAAACAGGTACTGCTATTTACTTTTTTTTGTTTTATTATTATTTTCGTCCTTGGCCTCTCGAATATAATCTGCACTTTTTTCGTTTGTTGCAGTATACCTACATGTGTAATGAGTTTTAGTTAATATCTGCTAATAATTTTTAGTATACTGGATTTAACATGTCGCAGTTGTAATGTAGGTACATTTTGATTATTTTTTTTAAATGTCTTATTTTTTTATGGTTTACCTACTTCTATTTAATGGGATCCAATAAACATTTTCGAGTTTTAAATTGAAACAAACTATCCGCAACAGGTTTGGTAAATTTTTTTATCCTATTCACGTTGGACACATTAATTTGTTGGTATCAATCAATTTTTTATTTATTTTTTTTTTTTAAATGTATAAATAAAAAAAATTAGGTATTATCTCATCATAATATATTATCTATTATAAAAAAAAAAAAAAAACATACTATAATTATTCACTAATATTTCAAATAAATGAACGGGTCGGTGGATAAAGATTTTTATTAGGTTTTTTAAAATTGTTAAATTAACATACTGTAATATAGTTTAATTTCCATACAAAAACTATGTATTATGCAACTTATTAATTATAAATAAATATAAATTGTCTCCATAAATACACATATATATTTTTGAACTTGCATTTTTTTTTTTTTTGACATTTGTAATGTGTCAAAAAAATTGAACGAATGGAACTATATTAGTTTCAAAAAATAATGTTAGTTGTCAATTTTATCCATTATTTATCCTTTTATTCCTACAAATAATATTTCTCCGGTAACGCGGAAGTCATCCAACAAAGTAATTAAATATAGTGACTATACCTACCCATTATAACACGGCACGAGTATAGGTAGGTATCGAATATAGTTACCTACTATATTATGTTATTAGAAAATTGTAAAAAAAAAATGAAAATATTTTATAGGTAACAAAGAATTGAAGACCTTCGGGTGACAAACTGATATAACTCCACTTTTTGAAGTTATTGTCTAGGAGCAATACAAAACGTTTTTTTTTTTTTTTTGAATCATCTAATTGTTACGCGATTGTACCCAAATACATATTGATGTATTCATCTATGTATAAAGTGATTTTTTTTGATCATGAACCAGCAATTTTCTCGGAGGATTTTAATTGAATTTGATTTCTGTTTTTTTTTTTTTTGTTAATCATTTAATCATTGTGGAATTGGTTAAGTATTATTTTAAAACCATTTTTAATTTTTTACCCTTACTCCATATACCTTGAATATACTTTTGCTTTTCAAACAGAAAACTCTTTTTTTAAACACAGATTTGAATAGAGAATGGTTTTTTAGAATTTTGATATGCATAACACTAACATTAGATTAACCGTTTATAACCGTTTAAATTTTAGACTGGAAGATGATATATGATGATACAAAAATACTTGCAATTCGGGCTAAGTCTAAAGGAATAATAAAGCAAACTAAATCATTTAATTTAATATTTCTTTAAATATGATGCATCCAATTTTAAAATTAATCGTAAAAGTAAGTTTAAATCTTCAGGCATAAATACTTAATTTAATTCGTTATCAGCTGTTTCATTAGTCACTTCATTAAAAACTACTTTCCAAAACTTTCGGTCTGAAGACTCATATTTTTAACAATTTCTATGAAGAAACAATTCAGTTGTGTACATTGAAAAAGATCCGAAAATTCCAGTAGTCCGGAAAAGGAAAGTACCATGTCTGTTGAAAAGTGAAAATAGTACATCTCAAACATTTGATAAAACTATAAAACAGGAAATCAAAGTTAACTATTTTAATACATTACTTGGTTATATGATAAGTGGATTGAATGTTAGATTTAATCAGGAAACCTCAGGTATTATTTCTTCTGTCGGTTATGTTTTGCAACTTATTTCAACGGTTGATAATATTAAACTACTTAGTAAGGTATTTAAAATTGATTAGGATCAACTAGAACAGGAAATTAAACTTTTTAAAGGATTTATTAGGCTTTGTTAGGATTTATTAGGATTTATTGGCATTCCTTGTAGATCATCTACAACAGTGGTTCTCAACCTTTTCTGTGTTGGTGACCCAAGATATTTACACAATTTTTCATACGACTTTTTTGAAAATAATTCCCAACGAAAGGCCATCCGTCCTACCCAACCCACTTAATTGTTCAATTATCATAACTAAAAGAAACTATTACCTTTCATTTATTTTAAACAAAATATACACGACTAAACGAATAATGGGTACCTTGTGAAGTTCACAATAATGACAATTGATACCAAAACAAATACTAGTCAACAACATACCAAATTTAATTGTTTCTGTGAATGGGATCCGTTAGAGTGTATTTATTGAAAGACTATAGTCCAAAATTATAAATTTATACTCGTTTGTCAAGAAAAATAATTTACGAAAAATATTTCATGAATTACTTTTAAAACTATTTTATACAGGCAGTCTAAAATGAAATTATTATATTAACGTTTTTATTATTTGTCAACCCAGTGTTAAATATTTATTATAAATAAATAAACCTTTTAAAGACTTTTGGAACATTTCCGTAACACCTGCTGTAAAAGTCTGGCCACACCTATGGGTATGCACTCTAGATCTAAATCCCGGCAAGTTTTTTAGTCCCATTCCACCCCTGCCTATAGGCTATAATGATATGATACTTACATATAATTTTATTCTGTAACAATGCCTACATGTGACTCGTAAAATTCGTTCAGGATGTAAAAGATAACCAAAAGGTAAAACATAATAATAATAATAATAATCACTTGAGTTTATTCGTTCCAACGGCCCATGAATTCGTAGCTATAAGGATGCGCAATACTCGTAACTATAATATATTATTATTGTCGTTCACGCCAGATTGAATTTGTATTGTTAGCTTGTAACTTAAATCGCAGGTGTACTTGAATTTTATAAAATACGAACTATCGTCATATTATATATATATTTCTATATTTTAGTGTCTGACGATAGAATATCCTTTGTTTAAAAAAACAGCTATGAGACGGGAATGAGGATTATAAAATACCGATTCCACTACAGTACTTATTTACAAAAAAATTTAAAAAAAAAAAAAAAGAAAAAAAAGACGCGCTTATACATCAGTGAATAATTTTGAAACGCACTTATCTTTTTTTAGTGATACCTGTATGGTTTTTTTTTTTTTTTAATGATGGATTTGAGAGTAAGTACATTTTAATTAATATAAAACGTTTGCATACAACTCGAATAAATGGTGTGTGCTTTTTTTTTTAAGTAACTTATTTATGTATTTTGTGCTTAACCTTTATTATTATAATTGTTATTTATTTTTATTTTTTTTTTTTTTTTCGAAATAAATAGAACAAAAAGCATTTTCTGAGCAAATTTTTAATCATTATTAATATACAGAAAATAATATGTTTTAATGTTATGGCCGTGGGGATGAGATTATTTTTTTTTTTTTACACACGATGGTGAAATAAATCAATGTACTTACTATTGCTATTTATATAGTAAGTAACAAAAAGTTTAAATCATATGTTAACTCTAGTTAGAGTAAACACAATACATTTTATCGGTTGTATGTACAGAATTATGATTACATTTTAATCATAATTTGAATACGCGTCGTTATAATTATTAATCGGCGAGTGTTGTTGAACGTTTTGATAATATTGTTGTTGGTCAGCTTCGTATGGGCTTGTGGCTGCAGATGGGTCGTAGTATAATATAATTTGTTGAGGTCTCGGTGTAGTGCTCGCCGCTGTTTCTTCTTCAGCATTCTTAGGGAATGCTAGGAAAAAAAAAATTATAATAAACAAGTTTGGAAAAATTATTTCTACGAGCGGGTGAAGTTACCGGCTTCTAAAAATATTTTAAACAATAAACTAGAATTTTCCACATGATACAATTTTAAACGAATTTGGTAACCTCTAGTACATTATTAAGATAATCATAATGTGTATGAACTTAATTAAATTAAAGAAATAACGAAACGAATTTATATTTAAATTAGCAATAACAATAATGTAATGGTACGAATAATAGACGTCTTCTTATCAACCAAATCTACAACTGTAAATATATAGGGTGTTCCATGGAGATATACCCATTTTAATGTCTCTTTTTTTTTTAAAAAAATAACTCACTGGAAAAAGGACAAAACAAAAATGTACATTCCAATTAATGTTTTATGTTTTGGTAAACAACTTCAAAAATAATTTTAATTTAACAGTTTTAAAAAAAATTAAGAAAGCTTTTATATAGAGTTTATTCTTCTGAAAATGTTGACGTATCAAATTTGTGTTTTCATTTAATTCGTGATTTTTAATAATTGTTTAAAATTCAGATACAAATATCTATAATTTTTTCAGCAGGCTATAATCAAATTCGCTTATTGATTATTATTACGACTAATTGACTATACATTTCATTTTTCTTTTTCATTAGTTACTGAAAATAAAACGTTAATATGTCAATATTTTCAGAGCAGTAAACTCTAGCTAGGCTATCTTCAAATTTCCCAAAAATAATAAAATAAAAAGTTATGTTTTTTTACCGAAACATAAAAAATTAATTTTAATATAAATATTTTCAGTACTTATCCCAGTGAGTAATGTAAAAAAAAAAAAAAATTGATTATCTTTATTGTCTTCGGAAATATTATTGCAATGGCTTCCTGCGATACTTCGTATGTACTAGCTAGTAATTACAATTAAACGGCCACGATATTAAGTGTTTAGGTTCATGAACTCAAAAGTAGAGTAAAACGGGCTGAACACTGTCAGGAGAAGTCAAAACCCACCACTATTACAGATGTACGTGATGAAATAGAACCCAATAGGGACAAAAACTTTTGGAATTGTCAAGGATGATGTTTAAAGTGGCAGTAATAAAAGGCCGTTGAAGGTTTCGGTAGTGGGCCAAATAGGAAGATTTAATGACGCTGGATAGATAGCTGGACGATTAGTTATAAGACGGGATGACCATAGAGGCCGAATAATCGCAATAAAATAAACAAATTAATAAATAATAGTATTAAAAAATAAAAAATAAAAAATATTTCAAAATTTCAAGGTAAAATCCGTGGAAAAAATAATTGTTCGTTCATTAATTTGACTATATAAAGCATGCCGATGCCGGCCATCGCGTAATTTTAACGTTGTTAATAAGCGAGTATTACATACAATTTAAAAGTATAGGTATTACTTTCATCAAATTGTACCTTTTTCTATACGAGTGTGTCGAATTTAATTTTAACTATCAGACACTCGAAAATTACATCACATTCATCAAAATTTTGCCCCGCAGCTTGTTGGATTATAATATCTATGTGTTTGAAATGTACTTAACGGTGCAGTAAGTGCAAATAAATTCATTACACGCCATTTGAATAAACGGCGAATTTTGATTATACGCTCGTAAATATAGTAACAAACCTATATATTATTTGTTGCGAATTTCGAGTGTCGAGTTTTTAGTACCGAGTAGTAGTATTACGTAGGTATGGAAGTAGTGGGGTAGTAATGTTAGCCCTAGCATAGATGTTCCACCACTGTCGGTTTAAAAATAAGAAACTATTGGTGTGATTCTCCTTAAATTATTACGATTTGTTATAGGTCATTTACGGCGTTGTTGAATGATAAAACAGTATCACGCGCTTTCTGTTTTTTATGTCATTGGTTGTGTTAAAGTAGAATAATTTATATCTTGGCGCTTTTTAATAATACGATGAAAAAAAAATTTATTTCTAGGTTAAATAGTAATACCGACGATGACTCTTATACTTTATCCAATAAATCTGTTTTAATTTGATGTAATTTGTTTTTTATTACACTCATCACTATGTTTATTACTGAACAGAGTAATATTTTCGAAGCGATAAGATCAAAGTGTTTTATTACGTATTTTTCCATAACCTAATATCGTAACCCGTAATATTACAATTATATTCGTTTAATTATTTATTCATAAAACATGTGTCATAATTTTTAAAGTCCGTGTAGAGGATAAATACACCTATACAGGGTGATTCTTTTATTACGATCCAGAGATTTTCTCGTAGGGAATCAAATTTGATTTTTGTATTTTTTTTTTTTTCATTCGTTTTTGTCATTATGTTTAAGCTTTGTTTTAACACTTTTTTTCAAATATTTACCACTGTTCGTTATACACAAATGCCATATCTACCGTGAAATGATAAAAAAAAAAAAATAATTTATAGTGGGAGTTTACCGTTTTATTTCTCAGTACCTCCGTTATTTTTTTTAATTTAAGATTTTTTTTTTAATACCTAAGTAAAATACGCCAACAGAACGTAACAAGAATGAGATGTTTTTTTTTTTTTTGTCCATTTTAATCTTAGACTTTTGGTATTCTGTGCATACTTCCAAACTACAGCATAACCAGAAAAAAATTTCCTGGTAAATTTTAATTTAGCAATCCTTAAAAAAAGTTTGTCTTCCGTAAATTATCATTAATAAAACGAACAGTTTTTGAAGATATTTCAGGGGAGGAAGGATATAACCTCTAACCATTTCCCCGGTTTCGCCATTCCTTACAATTACCCATTACAATCTATGATTTGCAAATTCAAAGTTATTTATAATAACTATACAAGCTCTGTAGATATTGACTGGCGATTCCAATAAACTAAAAATTTCACGTCCGGCTAACGATTCTTCGAATTTATTTTGTATCAATTACGCGATGAATGTACAATAGCGGCACTGTATTATAATGCTTAATAATTTTGCACAATTTTAGATTCTGTCCGTGGAGCAAAGAAATTTATGGTTTTAAAAATTTGTCGTTTTTCGATTTTCCGGGGAGATTTATCAACAAATGGGACACACCGAAAAACGTAGGAAAATCGAGAAAATGTACGAAATGTATTAGTAAAATATCGCGATCTTTTTTTTTTCCCGGTCAGCAAATTTTTCACCAGCAATTTTTCTTTAAAGTGATAGCACTTTTTCTAAAAAAAAAAAAAATCTGTTTGAGGAAGTATTTTAGAAAGGTAATGGATTTTCCTAGGAGTGTTCCCGACAAATTTTAAAAACGGAGGAAAAACGGGAAAATAGGCGCAGTATTAAACAAATATTATAAAAAAATATATATAATGCCAACTATTTTGACATATTACGATATGTTATATAATGTTGACAAAGCAACGCTATCAACAGAACTCCGCTCAGAATCGTTTTTTTCATTAGCAATGGTTTATCGTTGCTTACATATATACACACTGAATTTCCCCTCTACTACCTTCCCGACTTTTCATCTACAACAGTGTCCCACTTATATGCGAAGTTGCCCAGATTTTTATAATTGTACATTACATTTACGTATCGCTGATGAAAAAACATCAAAGATTTATTGTACATTTTAGTATTATACTATAAACGACATTATATTCTTAACTGAACGTTTCAACCGATGTCGAACTAAATCAATGGAACACAATACAATTCGACAGTTCTTTACGAATGTAAAAATTATTTCCCTGGAATCAATTGATTACATATCCATTTACCATAATAGAATTGACATTTTCGAAATCGGAATGTAATACTATTGCGTTAATAACATTATACCATGACGGAGTTTGAAGTAGGCAACTGTTTACACAACAAAGTCAACAATAATTGTACAGGAATCGATATTTATTTCACGGAGCGTGGTGACTGTTTTAACGCACGACACAGTGCACGAGCACAGTGTAATATTTCTGAGCACGTTCTTCACATTCGTGTATTTAAATAACAAAACGTTATTAATATACGTTATAGATTCGGAAAGACCCCCGAAGAGTTTCCTAGAAACTCTTTCCGTTTGAACTTGACGTCGACACGGGTGTATTGAAAACAGTCAAAACAATTATCCAAACGATATAATTATCATTTGCGTGAGATAACAATCGTGCTCTCATTCGGATATAAAAAAAAATCTATACTGCAGACAATGTATTATACTCATTAAATGCCAAACGGTATAAAAACAAATCCGCGTAACTGTTGGGATATAGAATAAAAAAAAAAAAAAAATCCTTTAAACGAGTAGGTACGTATAATGTATACGGCAGTGTTGTATATTATATATATATAGTGTATAGTGGGTTTATTGTGAATTTATTCTTTCAGGACTCTCAAATTGGACTATACAATATGTATATAAACTCGCTGTAATATTGGTCGGTAAAAATAAAAGTAAATCGCCGAATCATCAGGAAAACAGAATATCGTGCCTTCTTTCCTTTTCTATAATTTGTTGTGTTCCGGTCCGTGTAGTACGGATGTCGTATCAAATCCTCGAATCTCGTCCGTTTTTCTTTTAGTATACCGTAACATTAAGACGCATAACAAACGTGCAGGATGAAATTCTCGGGAACGTTAAAATGCATAAAGTGCATCAGCGAAAATGGATAGTTTAATCAATTGTTATAAATTAAATAATAACGATCAGAAATGTGTTTCCCTTCTCTATTCATACGGTTTAAACGTTGAACTGTTAATAATCACAAACGCTAAATGGTATTATAAAATGCGATTTACAATACGCATATATGTGTGTGTGTGTTTTACGCTACAGTGTTAAGGACATCAGCATACGTTATTTATCAAATCCGTGTAAAAAAAAAAAAAAACGGGAGTTGCTTTAATATAATCAAAATTTAATAACCATTGAAGACTTAGTAGGGAAGAACATTCGAAAATAACGTTAAAATAAAGTTTGAACGGTTTTATAACAGCGGAAAAATAAACAGAAATCTAATTTAATCGAATTAAAAATTATCCGCGCAAATCTCGGAACATAATAAAAAAATTGATTACTCTGTATGTACAGCGAATTCGGATTTAAAACACGCGGTTTAGAATAAAATTTATGTATCAAACCGTGTGATCATTGCAAACATAATACTGTAATGATATTGTAGTAATAATTTAGATTTTGATAGCGAACGCACGGGTTCTCGAGGGAATTCAATGAAACCTTATAAAAATATTTTCGTGTATAATGTTTATTATATTATATAACGAGATGAAAAATATGTCATACACGCGATCAAAAAAAAAAAATATAATATCATTAATACAATGTACTTAATATTTTGTTTTCAAAAATTAAGTTAAAAGTTTCGTCTATAAAAGCATTTCGGAAATAAAATGCGCAAACATTTTTTTATTACTGCTCTAATATTTTATGATGATATTGTATCGGGAATCGTCGAATATTTTATGTTAAAAATGTTGCTTAGGCAGTTGCTAGAAACGCCGTAAACACTTATTTTAATAACGGTCGACACGATTAGTTTTGTGTTTATAAGAAATTTTGGCCGAAATAACTAAATAAAGGTTCGGTAATCTATTAGAATACTACTAACCGAACCAAATGTATATTATGTAAAATATTCTTTTACTTTTAGTCATCGGTTAAAATATTATACGTAAAGCAACGTCAACGTTGAGGTTTTATCTAATTTTTTCGTTATTCCCCCGAACATACGCACCTTTCGTTTGGTTATAATCATTTAAATTATTTCAATTATAACGACCGACACCGCAATACACCGTGATGCCGTGTCAACCACTACGTTATCGAAAAATTGCATGTTATACGATATATAATAATCACACGTGTAGTTCATACAAAATCGATTGACGAATTAAGTATTTAAACGCGGTTCCGTTGGTTCGTGACACAGAAATATAATTGTACGAGCAAAATACGAAACGGGCAATTTTCAAATTTAAATATTCACCGTAAAAACGTATAATTATAAACTAAACATGTTTAATTGGTATTTTTTTTTTCTGCGCGTATATCAAACGGGTATCGTTATACAGGGTGTCGCAAATCGATAACGGTATCGATTTGATTTGATTTGATATTGAAATCGTTATGAAATTTAATATGATAAGTTGACGACATTGAGACTTCACGTCATACTCTCCCCTCCCCTAAGAGAAAAATCCTTTTCTTTTAGTCAAGCCTTTGCGTATAGACATGGTGATAATAATAACATTATCGGGAGTTTATTCAGTTTTCAAGATTGCATACATAAAATGTCGACGTTTCGGACCGGGAAATGTATAGAAGAGCACATTTTTTTTACAGAAATGTTTATTTTAATTACTTGTGCAAGTATTAAACGAATGTTACGAACAATTTTCAATCCATCCAGGTAAATTGCCAAAGTCGCTCCAGACTGTACTAAAACATATTTACTTTATCATATAAATGCTGCAGTTAATTATACCTATAATTATTCAACCTTGTCCCAGTCTATAATATATAATTTGATTGATACAAGTTACAAGTATAGTGTGTGCGCGCGTATTGTCGTAACTGTTTCTGTAGTGAACCAACATGGCTGATTAAAGATTTTAGTAATTGCGAACTCGCACATAGAAGTTCATAATTCTGGACGACAACATTAACGGCAATCATTAGTAAGTTAACGTCAAAAGCTCGCTTCTTGTAGTAAATAATATTATTTTTTAACCGATTAATCCTTAAGCGAACTGTTGGCGCGCGTAAGCCAACAAATTAAATTTAAACATAAATATATCATTGACACGCCGTTTAAGAGATTTTGTATGAACATAATTGCCACGCCAGATTTTAAAAATAACATCGAAACGATGTAATTTAATGTTATGATATTTTTAAGTACTTATTATTATATTATTTAAGTACTTATATTATACTCAGATTTTATAGACCATAAAAATATAATTTCACTAAGTAGTGTTGATAGAAGTGTTATAGTAATCGGCTGTTTGTGTAGCTGTTTTTATATGTTTATGTATATTACAACTGACAAGAAATATAACCAATGTCTAGAATTGATAAGAAATAAAATGTTTTTATGATAAAATTGAAAATACTCAATTATGATTATCAATAAATTATAATCACGGCTAAGATACTAGATAATACAGTCGGCGCTCGGCAGTTATACGGGACATTTGGATTTTTGAAATTAAAAAAAAAAGGCGTCCTAGGATAATGGGGACGGGTGCAGCCACTGTTATAGTCGCTGTTATATATTTGATGTACATATGTAAGCAATAATAAACCATTACTTACGAAAAAACGATTCTGAGTGGAGTTCAGTCAATAGTGATGCTTTGTCAACGATGTAGATGTCATTTTATAAAATAATTAAAATAATTAAATAGGCTTTATATATTTTCTTTCGCAATATTGTTTGAATGTTGTACCGGTTTTTCCAGTTTTCCTACATTTATCCCGGTTTTTCGCGTTTGCTGGGAAAACTCTTGAGAAAATAGTAAAATGACCTCTTTAAAGTACCTCACCACGCAGATTTCTTATCAGAAAATGTACTACACGTAGAAATCCTAGCAAGTCTTCAGGTAGAAAAGTTATGCATTAATAAAAATAAAAAATTTACATCTTTGTAAAACTATAAGCTTCTGTGCTCCACTCAAAATCTAATAATAACTAGTTTCTTATTGTTTTGAACGAGTTGGATTAGATTATTTTCCACATTCAATTCAACTACCTAATTAAGTTACACAGTAATTATGAATAAAAACTAACTAGTTAAATTAGAAAGTTATTTAAAATGTTACTTTATAACTAGTCAGTGTCCAGCTTTGGTGTTGTAGGACAATTGGAAACTCTTTTAAAAATATTTTCCCGGCCATACGGTTGAATATATTGTTCTAGAGAAACAATTTTCGACCTTTAAACTCATATATTATTTCCGAGAAAATACTATTTTGAAGCGCAGTAACCAAATAAATATGGGATCGATAAATTGGGTTATCTACGAAAATGTTGATTTAAGTTAATGCTGGTATTTTTTAAGCCCCTGTATAATATTGTTTAAAGATCGAATTTACTTGGATTACAACTTTTTACCATTATTCCGTATACCGTAAACACAATAAGTTAATATATCAATTTTTGATTTACTAACAGCATCATACATTTTTAAGGTTAGATTTAAAAAAAAAAAATGTAATTTATTTTTCAGATTCTGAGCGTTTCGAGGAATGTGTTTTTTTTTTGTCTCTGAACCAGAAATGTTGTTCCGTTTATTAACATCAAAGATGATTTCTGATAAAAAAAAATATCGTCTAGTTGAGATAATAAGGTTATTTTTTTATTTTTCTTATAGTTGATAATTATGTGGATAAAAACTGCGTAATTTATTTTTTCAGCATTTTTGTTAAAAGTCGTTAAAAATGCGGTCAATTTCTAATTGAATATGTATAGTTAAAAAATGTTCGATTTAAATTTATCAAAGTGTCATATTTAACCGCATTTGGCGCAGAACCGTTGCGCAATGATTTATCGTTACGTACAGATAAAAAACTAAATCGCCCTATTTATCTTAACTTTTCAATTTCCCACTCATAATTACAATGGCAGAGTACCAAATATAATGGTTATTTTATTAAATTTTGATCACGCACAACACCAATATCGGATAATACATAAACTTACCGTTCACGAGTCACATTTAATCAGTTTAAAATGCAGATCAGATCGAGGAGTCGGTAGCTATATGCTATAGGTCTAGTAAATAATCTAAACACAGATATTATGAAATGCGCGTGTTCTTAACTATCATCACGTCGTATGCGTTTAGACTAATTATTTGCCAACGAAATAGTTTAGCCCTTTTCGGGACAGATGGGTACGCCGTAGAAGTTAATGTTGCTATTAGGCGTGTTTACTGTTTTGACGGGTTTTGACGGTAAAGTGTACTTTGCTGCATGGTTTCTTGTTGTTTGCTAATTGATTGCGATATCGCGAAAATGCTTTGTTTATTGTATTTTACTCGTGGTTAACTTGAAATAACGGAAGACAGTGAGTCAACGTAGTCTGTACTGTTTGCTGATTTCAGCAACCTAGGTCGGTAATCGAAAAGCCCATTTGGCTATTAGAGGCTATTGCAGTTAACAGTATCGCCAAAACAGTTTGTTCGCTGAACCAGTAACAAGGTCTATCAAAACTGCGCCGCTAAAACACGTTTATTGTTCGTGCAAACACCACTCACTTATTGGTCCCCTGGCCAAATGCGGGTTTTCACTGACTTCGTCGGCGGTTTCGTCGAATACCGGGGCCGGGGACGGGGCCGGGGCGGTCCGTATCTGCAGAACCCTCCGTTTTTTGGGTGCCGAATGCCGTTGAATAACCGGGGCTTCGGACTTGCTAACCACCGCGTTGAATCCGTTCACTGGGTCGGCCGTATAGTCGACCGTCCGCACCGAACCGTCAGGCTCCACCAGACTGTACTGGCCCCGGACCACGCCGTCACCGGTTCGCTCTTCCGACTGATGTTTGATGTCGCCGGTGGCCGGGTCGTGCACGCCGTAATTGTACGTGTAGCTGGCCGGCTGTAATATTATGATGGGGGACGCGATCAGTGATGTAGCCAAGGTTAAAAAGAGCGAGGGTATAAATGTATAATTTATGTAAAAATACGTCTTATATGTCTATGGTCAATACCTACAATCCTCGTAATACACATAACAAAACATAAACGATAACAATGGGGAACGGGAAGTATATTTAACCTTTACTCCCTGGATACGCCACTGGTCACGATTAAAATTAGATGTAAATAGAAATTATGAAATAGAAAAAAAAAAAGAATGGAAAAAAGGTATTTTGTGATTTTTCGATCAAATCATTTTTTCTGGTAGAAAACGTCGTCCGTGATTTTATAAAATAATGAAATCGTAAAATTGTATGTTTTCCTAATATTTTTCCCACTTAAGTGCTTTTATTTAAAAATGGCGTTGACCATCAAAAAATGACCTCTTTAAAATGCAATCTAGACAACTTGAACTTTCATAAAATTCACTAGGAAAATCGTGTCCATAGACTAGAAGAAAGAAAAAAAGAAGAAGAAAAAATAAATATCTTAGTAAAACCAATAGCTCCCTCGTTACGCTCAGAATCTAAAATAGTATGTAAAACTAAATTAAAAAATATATAAGATCTGATACTTGGAACGAGTGCGGGTGTGCAGCGTGCAACTACTGTTAGTGGGTAGTGAGAAAAGTGAGATACAAAGTTATTTGAATTATACCTGTAACCATCGATAAACCATTAATAACGAAAAACGATTCGGAGAGAGATTTGGTTATATAAGGCCGTAATATTCGATTTTAAAACTTATAAAAAAAAAGTTAAAAAAATACTACATTAATCTAAATTCATTTTTTAACTGACTTATAATGAATTTTCTATCAAATTTTCAAATATTTCTATTAAGTCTAACAATTTGTCTACAGAGTACCTACTAAATAAAAATTACGAAAAAACCTCAACAAATTAAAACATCTATAAATAGATCAAAAATCGCTTGGATGTTCTGAATGTTTTACCACGTCTAGAAAAAGTAAATATATTTTTTCTGTCAACATTTTAAGTCTCTACAAATATTTAAAAACTGTATAGTATTAAAAAAAAAATAAAATAATTATTTTCGTAAATTTTTCCGTTTTTTTTTTTCGTACTTTTCGGTTTTATTCAATTAATAATAAAATTAAAGAAAAGATCAACAAACATTCGTTAGTCATAAATTAGATTAAAAATGCAACAATAAAAGCCTTTTGTTATTTACCTATTGAAGCAGTTATTTATGGCAAAAAATATCGTGTAAAAAGAACAAAAATAATAAAAACGGTTAGATATTTGCCGTTTTAATGTCCGTTTCCCTAGCACCCGTAAATCGTCCACACGACTTCGGACCAACTTAATTTTTATGTACCCGATTTGTATGTATTTGTTGCCCTTTTAAATAAATTTGAATCCCCTTCACTCCTAAACCAGAATTTTAAATACGGGTGCTAAGCGACCGTAGCACTAGCAGCCTTTAAAAATCATCTTATCGATTTCGGACCTATGCTACTTTTTTTTACTTAATCAGTTGAAAAATCTATCAAAAAGAATCATTTTGTCATTAATTAAGCAATCGGTTTGTGAAACTACTACTTCAAAGTCAAATTCATTAGGATCGGGTGAAAATAGAAATGATCTACCTTTGAATAAACTTACACAGGTATTTATAATTTTTTTTGTATAGATAAATTGAACTTTTATAAAATTTCCCCGGCTTCAGGGTGTATGTTGCGGCACTTCTAGGGAGACGATCTCGTTTTATGCTTAACTGGAGGGGATGGATTTTTAAAATAGATACAAATCGGGTGAAAAAATTGGCATCGGTCTGAAGTCGATATGATGACTTTTAACGCTTGGGGGTGACTAGGAGATGATCTCGTTTTACACCTAAATGAAGGAGATAGCTATTTATCATTCAAAATTGATTTGTTATTTATTAAGTTGATGTAATAAAAAAAATAATTAAGCTGATAACAAAATGAAGAGGTTAAATAATAAGTTAAACGTTAAAATTATGTTTCACTTTTAACTTTTTCATTCGTTAATGTCTTTAGCTTTGGTTCACGGTAAGGTGAGTTTAAACCACAATTTATCACGGAAAATCGACTAAAAAAATGTCACAAATATCCCCCTTCAAATATACTACAAAAAATAAAATTAATCATGATAAAAGCCACGTTGAAAATGTCTTAAAATGTACTAAATCCTTAAAGAATGTACATTAAAAATGTATACAATTCTTAAAACATGTTCTAAAATGTACAAAATCATAAAAAAATGCCATAAAAATCCTAAAACGCCACAATATTCAAAATACGATTTTGTGTAATATAGAACCATTAGGTCATTTGACCAACGCAGTAAGCTATTAGTAAGCAGTTTGTTAGTCGAAAAACTAATTTATAACTCGGTGGTGTTCTTACGTAATAATCAATATCCGATTGACCCGTATAATATCTTGGCCTTGACAAAGATACGCTGGTCATTAATAGGAAGCATGACAGCAACTGAAAAATTCATAAAAATGTAAATTTTTAATACAACATTATTATTCATGGGTATAGTTTTTTTTTTTTCCTTGCTGTCACGAAATGAAATAATTTTATCGGCTATACATTGTTCGTTCGTACAGATTCCCCGTAACTATTTCATACTGCGTAGATATTTAAAAGACTGGGCACTATTCGTCTTTTAATATCAAATACTCGAACATTTAGATAGCGAAATTCGTTACGTTCGCATTATTATAAATTATAATATTTAATTGTTTGTTTATCAGAAACTGTTCAGTTTTCTTAAATTATATCGATATTACGGCACGGTAGTCAAAAAACACAAAGATTTCGAATACTATAGTGTCGACTACACAAAATTAAATAAATAAAATTACGTTTATTCGACATATTTTATTAAATTAACATCATAATAAGTATGAAAATACAAGATAATTTTTACGGCGTTACCGCTAAATTCAGACCATGTAATAGGCAAACAAAAATACATTGATGTTTAAGTAGTAAAAAATGGAGTGATCGTTTCTGATTTTCAGGCGTATGGTTAAATTTCGATTATAATAATGTAGCTATATTTCAATAATATTATGACGTAACAAAAATAAATAAAACATGCAACATTAAAAATTTAAACCCAAAGAAAGTTGAAAATTAACTTGACAAATTCAAGAATTTTTTTATGTAAAAAAATAATTCGTGATAGTAAAAAAAAAAAAAATCGATGACTGAAAAAGTTCAGTTAACAAGTTTAAATTAGCTTAACATTGTACATTGTACGGTCATTATTAATGACCATCTCCTTACATATTGAATAATAAACACGGTAACCGGTATTTTCTTTTTAATAATTACTATGTTTTTAATTCTTTTGTTTTAGATTCTAAGCAGAGCGAGGAATATACTGGTTTTACAATAGTGTTTATTTGTTTTTTAATTATTCTGTGAACAACTTTTTTATCTTTCCGTTGACCGGGGTGGTACTTTAGAGAAGTAATTTTTTGATTTTCCCATGGGAAAAACGTAGGGAAAACAAGAAAATGTACGAAATATATTATTTTCAAATCGTTAATATTACAGCCTTTCAAAATATGGATAAACGAACTCCATGCACAATCGTATTTCGTTAGCAATGATTAATAGGCGAGTACAGATATACATTAAATTATCCCTCTACCTTTCCAACGTATCACTTATTTATTTTTTCGAGCGATTTTTTTAATTAATATTATAAGGTATACGTGACGTTTTTTTCGAGAATTTGCATCGTATCGTAACGGACTAACTATTAATAATAATAAACAATATGATGGACAAAGCTATCGTGCAGTTTTAATAATAATTGTTCTCGAAATTTACTATGAAAACATAATGCACATTTATCGTTATCAATATGCATAATACTATTATAATGTGTGTAGCCACTGGCCTAGTATCGACTGGATTATTATTGAAGGTCGTTCGTCAAAAAGGAACAACGTGTACTCGTACATAATAATGTAAACTAATATAGCGAGTATTGCACGGTGGAGTAATATTTTCGATCAGAGTCAATATTGTCATGATAAGCATAATTTTTTTTTTTTTAACACTATTTATGTATCCACGTAAAATATAATTTTTCTTTGCGAAAATTCGTCGATGTGGTTCATTTGAATTAATCGACCGTATACAAATATTTGCCGCGTACATATACCCATACTCCATGCGTTGTTTGAACAATATTCTAATGATAATAATAATTTTATAGACATTGAAGCCTATGACCGCGGACCGTGGGAGCTATTGCAAGATTTACATAATAATAATTGTTCATTATATATCATGATATATAAAAATTTTTCAATACATTGTTTTCTTTGTTTTTGGGTCGAAAAAATAGTTTATTCGTGTACCTATCTGGTGATATTGTTATGTTTTATACGCAGAGAGAAAATCGAACACGCGCTCGTATCCGTCTACATTTGATTATTACGAAACTACAGTTATTACATTGAAAAATGTCGATCAGTCGACATCATTTACGGTCAAGTGCGTAATTCGTTTTTAAATAATTTGCGTTTTATAATACGGAAATTCGATTAACCACGTTATAATTCAGTCCTGCGATAAATAATAAATTTTAAAATAGGAACCTAGATAAATATAAGCGAAACAGTTGCTGAAATAATGATTTAGACGAAAATGGAATACGCATCGTTACAATTGAATTAACTAGGTAAAGACGATTGATTAACAAATTTTTACCTAGATAAAAAAATAATGAATTATTTTATTTCATTACCTTACCTATCGCGAATCTAAGTATTGAAATGTACAACATGTGGTACGAATCTGGGTTTAAAAAAAGGTATTGTTCGATTGATGTAATTACAAACTAGAACACATTAAATTAACCTATTATTTCTAATAAATGATAGATATTTATTACGATTGAAAACATTTTGTTCAAGACAATTTTTTATTATAATGAATCTAATAACTTTATTATTTTCAATTAATCCGGATGAGATTGAACGTAAAAACATATTGTCTAGATAAAACACAGCGCGCGGACTTTGTTGTTGTATTGTTCCAAACATGATTTACAGGAAAAACTATCATACTTTGAGAAGTGTTCCGATTTAAAATATTTTTTCGGAAAGGATATATTTTCCTACCGGGTGCATTGAATATTTGATTACCTATGTAACCAAGAACCACAAAACAATTTTAAAATGGTAGCACATTGATCGTAATCAAACCTTAAGGATACAGTTTAAAATTATAATTTTTAAAATCCCAGTAGAACGAGCCCTTTAAAATGTTTTTTTCATTCCAAAAAAAAAAAAAAAAACGAAAATATTATCAAATTCGGTTAACTCCACGTAGAAGATTTTTCTGTAAATCATGTTTTGAGTAAATAACAGGTAGCGCAAGCCCCTAGACTCTAACTTACATTAGTTTATTAGCTACCTTGACTGATAATACAGTAAGCAGATTTCTTTGTATAGTTAAAAATGTTTAGTTTTTCTACATCTAAGTACGACTTTTAAAACATCCATGTCAGGGACGTATGTATAGATTATTGATAGGAATGTTGGTTAGAATCCTATGAAAACAAAAATGGAATTAAGAGTGAATCGAAAATTAACAAAAACCTACTTATTGAGATTTTAGAAAAGGGGGTTGAAATCCACCCTCCCTCCTAACCCGTTTCCTTGATTTAGATTATAGTTACGGATAGGTAATCCTCATATTAAAAAGTATATGATAATATTATACTCGTATAAAATCCATTATTATAAAATTCGATCGATTTCGATAATGTTTTAGTCACACTCGTATTTATTATTAGTATTTGCTTTTAAAACATTTCAAATCATTTCACTGCACTTTAAATTCTCTTAAAATCTTTTTCAAACGTAAAGTTTTAAAAAAAACATAATGTATTTCTTTCACTGAGTTTATTATATTATAATGATACGATATTTTTACTCACTATTGAGTACCTACTGATGTTATTATTAATATAATATTTCTTATTACTTACGCGTAAAGATCGTCTAAACCAAAAAAAAAAAAATAATAATAATAATAATAAACATCTCTATAAAACCATAAGCATCTTCGCCTCACTCAGAATCTAAAATGTTTAGTTTTTCTACATCTAAGTGCGACTTTTAAAACATTTATGTCGGGTACATATAATATATATATTTAGAGATTATTTATGGTAATGTTGGTTTGAATCTTATGAAAACAAAAATGCAATTAAGAGTGATTCGGAAATTAAAAAAAACGTACTTATTGAGATTTTGGCAAAGGGGAAAAAGGTTTGAAATCCTCCTTCTTCCTAACCTATTTCCCTAATTTAGATTACGTTAGATTAATTTAGGTTATAGCTACGGATAGGCAACCATCATGTTAAAAAAAATTGATGACAATATTATAATATTATACTCGTGTAAAATCCATTATTATAATATTCGAAAAAAAAAATAAACGAATAATAAATTTGAATATTAATAATATTCCGTTTTTATAAATAAAACTTCTCTATGAATGAACTTTTGACCTATTTTTTGTTTTTTTTTTTTCGTGGTATTATTATATATTTGTAATCGTTTAATTTTTACTATATATTCGCCTCGTGTTGATTTGCTTTAAAAATAATGTAATACAGTTTTCTTTGATGTTCGCACGTTATTAAATCGAAAAATCTATATACATGCACGAAATTCATAAAGCATATAATATAATACGGGAATACACTCAAATTAGTATTCAAAAGGCTATAATGTAATATTATTTAGGTGTACACATTAGTTCTTCTCGACCGCGCTAACAAAACTAAAAAAAGAGCTGATACTGGAGACGGGTGGGGCCACTTGTTGTGGGATACATAAAGTTATTTAATTTATAAATGTGACTAACGATAAACCATTAATAACGGAAAACGATTCGGAGCGAAGTTCGGTTATAGATGTTTTGAAAAGTGATATTTACGATCCTTTCCGTCAAAATTTGATTTAAAAACTTATAAAAAAAAAAAAAATACTACTGGGTTTGAAGTTGAGTTTTGATTCGAACCCTGACAATAAGTGCACTCTACCAATAAACTACGACAGATATGCTAAACTGTTGACATTATTGAGTTATTTAACATAACTATGAATTAACATTTATAAAATCCGCATTATGCCAGAACTTCAAAAAGCTTTAATATCGAAACCGAGACATTCCGTTTTACTTATAATTTTCTTTCGATTTTTCGAGAATATTTTGAAAACCTCTCTAAAAAATCAAAAAGTCGCCTCCTCAATTTACCAACTAGAGAAAATTACCTTGGCTATGGCCTTTACATCGGAGCAAGTTTCCTAGTAAAAAAGTTGTTCACAGAAAGAAAAACAAAATACAATACTATACATCATTGTAAAACGGTTTGCTCAGAGTCTAAAAAGCTGTCCTAGGATACTAAGACGGCTGCAACTACTGTTATAGGTGGGAATTTCGGAAGGCAGTAAAGATGAAATTTAATATCTATCTATAAGCAACGATAAACTGTTGCTAAAGAAAAAAACGATTTTTAGTGGAGTTCGGTTGATAGTGTAGTTAACAATATATAAGTCATATTGTGGTAAAATAATTACATTATATATATTTTTTAATGATATTTGTTTTATATTGTAGCAATTTTCTTGTTTTTCCTACGTTCCCTGAGTTTTCCATAGATTTCATTGGAAAAAATCCTGAGAAAATCAAAAATTAACTTCTTTAAAGTACCTTTCCAGTTAAGTTTACTTTTAGAAAAAGTGGTATCATTATACACTGGAGAAAATTTGTTGGTAGAAAAGTTATCCACAGAAAAAAAAAAATAGAAAATAAAATAAAAATAAACATCATTGTAAAACCAATACATTTCTCGCTCCACTTCAGAATCTAAAAATATTTTGAAATTATCACAATAGAATCAGTTTTAAGTTTATTTATAATTTTATTTATTTTTCATCGTTTCAAATGATAATTGTGGAAAAGTAACTTTTTGTGTTTATAAAGAGTTTTAACTTTTCTCTCAAGCTTTTTAAATAAATTTAAAATTATTATAATGGACAATCTTAAATAAATAAAATAATAAAGTAAACATATTCTGTTAAATAACATTTGTTGTTATTTTTTTAAACTTTGTTAAATACTATTGGGAATCTAGATATTTTTAGAACGTATTACTACCGATGTAACCATTGATTTCGACTCCTCAACGATTTGTGCTGGGGGATTCGATTTCGCAGGGGAGTCGAACATTTTTTCCAAATTCGGATCCTGTTTTTTTTTACTCCCTGATGGAAAGTCGATATCTTTTGGTTTATTTCGACTATTTTCTTTTTATAATTTCTCCTAACGCTCAATGATTTTATTCTATACAATTTTTTACTATTTTAATTAAATAGTTGATCACATTGTATATTTTTTTTTTTATTAACGAAAATAAAATATCACATAGGTAGGTACTATTGTAATTAATTTTAATTAAATATTACATGTTTATACGACTTTATAAATGTTTTTTATTACTAAATAATTATATTGATTTATGACCTGTTTTTGATACGATTATTATAATAAGTCGTATTTTTACGATAGGTACTATTTGAAGTACAGTTTTAATGTGTTAATTTTTTCCTTGTATAAATATGGAAAATTGTTCTATGTATTTCTCATTCTGACTTAGATTTAGAGAATATATTGCATATATTACAATGATGTTTAATTTATTTGATCTTTTTCTGTGAACATCTTTTCTACCAGTATAAAATTGTTAGGGAGTTAAAATCTATGATCGCATCGGACAGTAAATTCACATCTTTGAAGGCACGAAACAAATAATTTGGAGCATTTTGAAAAACCAAAAAAGTGTTTTTACAGATAAAATCCAAAAAATGACCCAAACTGGAGTACTGCTGAACATTTTAAATATCGTTTCAACAATGAATTACTGACTAGAAAAATACATTAAAAAAAAAAAATATGAAGCTCAATTTTTCAGAAAAAGTATTGGGAATTTCCAAGCATCGTTCAAATAAAATATTATCTGGGCAAAAATACGCATCTGTTAAAGAACAGCATAAACAATTTTTATTAACCCAAGTGTTTTCTGAGAAAAAAAATATCTCAGAAAACGAATAGCTTTTTCGGTTCACTCAGAATCTAAAATATAGAAGTCTATACAACTACAATATTTTTCGAAAATCTACGTGATTTGCATTCCCGTGGTTGTATTACATTTAATTATTTAAATATATTTCAAAATTAAAACCCGCCTCAACCTGTATTATCTGACAAGTTCTAAGGTTACATCGTAGATGTTCAAATAATGAAAATAATATTATTTTCATTATAAATTACAAATATTTATGTATGATTTGCCTAGTGGACCGAACTAAATAGGTTAGGCAACAAAAGTTCATCTCGCATATTTTTGACATAGATTTGACTTGCCTAATCATTTAGGTACAATCTGAAACTCACCTGTAACACAGAGGTCGCCATTTATATTGATTGTAATTGTATTGTTTTTATGAAACGAATCTTGTACGTTAAAAAAATAAAAACTAAACACACGTGCACTATGGAAATATAAAACGGACGGTGTCTACAGTGACTGTGGTGTATCCATTTGGTAGATGTCTACGACGAGAACTGAACGCGAAAGAGCGCATTGCCGCCGTATTTTAAGTCCAAATGTTGTGTCGAAAAACGTATGGAAATCAAACTGGTAGGTATGTTTCTTAAATGGGCGGTTGCGATCCCATGGTAGGTACTGTTGGTACCTAACCGACGCGGGAAAACAATGGGACGAGGATGGCCACAAGGTCGAGCCGCGGGAACTGGATGATGACCCGTCGCCATCGTACAACCGATTCCGGCCGATTCCCACGTGATGACACAATATTCGTTTTATCATTATTATTTATTTTTTTTTTACATAATTATTGTTATCCATATTATTATGACGTGTGTTTTGTGTGCAGTTTGTTTCTGACGGCGCGGCGGCGGTGCAGGTAAATTCCCGAGTATGAAAAATGATCATGCAAGGTATTTAACGACGCGTGTTTCAAAACACGCCACACAAAGTGTGTGAAATTATAACAGTGGCGACAAGTACGTGAAAAAATTGTTGTGTATTGAAAATTTCCCACTCGAATAAACAATTCAATTATTATTATACACCTGCAATAGTAAATTACTAAAGAGTTGTTATACATTTTTATAAAATGTATGTGTACAACATACAAAACTCTCAAAGAAGGATTAAGAATTCCCGTATGTGGAATATAGTAAAAAAGCTGGAACTCCTATAAAATATATTCAGGGCGAGATTAAGACATTTTGAGTCCCGGGGTAGCTACATATTCTATAGGGCGTTGCTTACAGTTACACATTTAATTTTCCCTCTATTACTTGTCTAACTTTTCACCTATTACAATGGTTGCATCCGTCCTCGTTGTCCTAGGACAGCTTTTTTTTTTTCTGCTGTGATCAACTTTTCTACCGAAAAACATACTCCGAAGTATAGACTGTAGTACATTTTTGAAAAGGCAATTTTCTCTAGATGGTGTTTTGAGAATATCATTTTTCGATATCTAAAGTAGTTTTCCTAATAATTATTGAAACTCATTAACTTTATAAATAATTACATTTTTTTTATATATTTATAAAGATTTATAATATTAATTCAACATAATGTTTTGTTCGTTCTCCCATATAACAATTACGTGGTCCTATTTGTTTTACTTTTCAAAAATCGTTATATTATTGCTGTCTGTTGCATAATGATCATTTTATGTTATATCTTAGAAGATCTACAAAAAAATCTGTATTTTTTTGATAGAGTAAGTGTTTTAATTACGTATGTATATTATGAAAAATCGTAAAACCAATTTAATTATTTAATATTTTACATCATTATCAACTGAATTTCGCTCAGAATTATTTTTCGTTATCAATGGTTTATCGTTGCTTACCGGTATACATTAAACTACCTATTACAGTAGCTGCACCCGTTTCCATTATCTTAGTACGTTAATTTATAGTTCTTTGTTTTAGATAATTTTAATTTATCTCTTTTAGTATTCAAAATGGCAAGAAATTTAAATTTTAAATAGGTTTAAATTAAATATTTTAATTTTATTAAAAGCTGTAAACTATTATAATTTTAGATAAAAAAAACTAATTTGTTTTTTGTAACATATTATCAAACATGGAACCGAAAAAAATAAATAAAATAAATTAAACATAGTACATTATTTTCATATTTTTTCAAAATAAATCAAGTAATTATTATTAAACTGTTTAATTTTGACTTTTAAAAACTATAGGTATCCCGTGTTTAATCTAAATAAGTCGTTAGTAAATTTTTCTAAAAATACCTATCAAGCACATTTAAGCGTATAAACACTTAAAAATGTACGAATACATCACTGGCCATCGTGCATGGAAATTCGTCACGAATTCGTCCGAATGCTAATGCCGATACAAGTCCGACCGGCAATAATACACAATGCGTCTTACCCACCAGCTAAAACAAAAACTCTTACTGATTCGTCAAATGAGTATAGCAATAATTGCCATAATAATTATTGTAAAACCAAATGGCCAATAAATTATAAAGTCAATTATACACTTTCGAAGTGGCGTCGGCCACCCTGACTGAAACTCTATCTCTAAATACTACTGATGGTCCGGGTCCGACAGTTAACATTACGGAATGTATCGTTCTACCGGCCGTAACCAAACCTCCCATTCGCACTGATTCGCCAAGTCATTGCACCATTTATAAAACTGAACGTTCAACACTAGAATCATGTATATTATAAAGTTAATTATTTTTTTTTTACACTAACTTCGAACCAATTAGAATACTGCCTACATAATAATGAAAATAATTACAATCTACAATTTCACCCGACACAAACTATTTATCGGAAATTTGAAAGTATGCCAGGAAAATGATATTAAGGGGAGTTAGATAATATTTTTGTAAATTTTTCCCGTTTTGAAAAATTTGATTATTATTTTTACCTTCTAATGACGACCTTAACGAGAAGTTGTTTTTCATTAATCTACTGTCGGATAACTATTCAAGGCCACGGCCGTTTTTACGGACTTTAAATTAAAAATCATATTGCATCATAATTATTAGTCAAAATATCTACAGGAATATAGTTTATGAATAAAAAAAATACCTTTTGTGTGCCCTACACTTTATTTGTATTAGTTTTCTGCGTGTTGAATTTTTAAAAAAAACAGACAATGTTAAAATGGCGGGACCTTTCAAACGTGGTAACGATGAAATAAATGTCATCTTTGACATAATGATCGAACAGAATCTATATACCAAGATTAATATTATATTATTTACTTACACGAATTAAAACTGTTACGAAAAATGTCAGTAAAATACGCAGTAGCCGATATAATTCTATGATAATAGTTTGTTAATTTTATATCTAATGTAGTGTAACGAAATTAGGAATATTTTTGGGACCGACAATAAATGTCCACCGTGGTTAGCGCGTTACATCGTTGTGGACCGCATCAGCGTTGAATCCAATTACCATGCGTTGTACGCTGACTTTTTGGACTCGTTGAACAATGAAGACCTCAGCGAATTAGTGATATTGAGAACAATAACAATTAACATTAAAATGAGTAGGAATATTTTAATTTTATTTTGAATTTGATTTATATTTGTGCTTTATGTGATGATGAATACGGTTTATTTTAAAATATTATCGTGCGTATCTCGTACGAATTTATTGAGTCGAGACGAGGTAAGTTCTACTTGTAAGACATCGCTGAAAAATTTGGGACATTGATTTGGGACGATGAACTCAACGAATAATAAATCAATTTGTACCATGTTTGACGAACTAGAAGGTTATTGGTAAAAGCGTATTACGAAGGAGAAGAAAAATAAACACACAAAATATTATCTCCCTAATGTACCTCTCCAGTTAGATTTCCTTTCGAAAAAAGTGCAATAATTGAAAATTGAAGCCAAATTGGTGGAAGAAAAGTTCTCCAAAGAAAAAAAAAATTTGTTTTCCTATCTATTAGGAAATTCAAAAAATGACCTTCCTAAAGTACGAATAATACATTAATACAATAATATACTCGATATTTCGGAGCCAGTTATCTGGTAGAATTTTTGTACACAGTATAAAATACATTGTTCGCTACACTCAGAATCTAAAAGAAAATCACTCACTATAATATAGTAGAACTCCTAAAACACCATTTTTTTTTTTTTTGGTTCCCCTAAATTGTTTTCTAAAATTTAAAAATAATCTAATTTATAAATCTTTTTATTACGATTTTAACCGATAATTCCGTTCGGTAGATATATTTTATTTACAGGACATTTTATTATATAGAGAAATTTTGATCAACCGGAACAGAGTACGACAATGACGTAAGTTTATTAAACTCCCGAGGCACTGCGATTCGTGTTCAATTTCAAATCTATGCATAGGTATATGTACGAGGTACATATACGTATACAGTGCTATATAGTATAACGTATACACTTATAGTTCACTAAGCGTGCTCACCTCATTTCATTTGGTGAAATTTTTGCATACATTCAAATTCTAATTTTTGAAATTGTTAAGTGTAGTGATAGCCAATACTTTTGAATACTAAGATTTTTCACAACATTTAAGAAATATCTTATGGCTATCAATATTGTTTTTTTCTTTTGAGAGCCTGTATTAAAAATTCCCCAAATCGCTTTAAATCAATTTTGGAGATAATATTTTTGATTTCCGTCAACCCGTTGACGAGATATATCCATTTTGAAGTTTTGGTAGGGAGAGAGTAGTGGAGCACTGTAATAAACACCATGCGCCGTGTCCCCACATCATTCTAACATACAAAACTCCAAGTGTCTATTCATACATTATATCTAATAAAACCAAAATAAACATGCGCTTCCGGTCATGTTTTTATAAATCGGTGATGAAAAAAAAATTATAATAATAATAACTATTATAATAGGATAAAATTTATTATAATAGGTGTACCCTGTAAATAAAATTGACATAAAATACTGCTAGTTGAAACACCGTATTGGACGGCCAACAGCGTTTTGATAACAATTCCATTAGCTCGAAATCCCACTACATCATGTAAATTGGCAGGACCCGTTTGGACCAATTTTTCTAAAACTCAACCCGTTTCGATCAATTTTGAAGACCCGTTTGGACTAAAAAATACTACATTTATACAACCCGTTTGGATCATAGTTTTCCTTATATTAGTTTAACTGAACGTTTATTTAGCGAGCCTTTATATATTAGTACTTTATCTGTGATATCTTATCGTATATAAGACCTTGATACACAGATATTTATTATGCAAAGATAATATTTATAGGTATATATTTAATATAACTGGATTTTTGGTATTTTTTTAAAACTAAATTAATACACAGACATTGTATGTAAACCTAAATAATTTACTTATTACTTAATATAAAAATTAGTTTTCGTAGTTCAACTAAACACGTTTATTTCGTGAACCTTTATAGAAATTTAAAAGTATTGGGCTAAACGGGTTCACTAAATCCTGGTCCAAACGGGTTGCAGTTTTATTAGCGGCCCAAACGTCCATACTTGTCCAAACGTGTTTATCCCCAAGTAAATAGTTGAAAAATACGTTCTAGTAATAACTGTAAAAAACATTGTGT